CCCACAGGACCGATCACCGATGGCCAATCGTTCCTTTCTACTTTGCCAAAGGTGGCTCAAAAATGTCTTCCCTAGTCTGTCTGTCCTAACGATATCCCTTCCCACCTTTTCAACCCACCTCCTGTGCCCTAGCACAGCCACCGTCCTTTCCTCTCTATTCCATGCCTCAAACACGTCCCTGTACCTCCCACCTATTTTGCCCAGCTTAGTCACGTACACTTCCCTCTCCTTCTTGTACAACGGACATTCCGCGACTACATGAACACGGTCTTCGCGTTTGAGGCCGCGAACACATTTGAACTCGTCGTCTTCGTCGTCTACCGTCCTATGTCTTCGTCGACGTTCTCGAAGGCCTATGTCCCCGGTCCTGAATTTGACCTTAAGCTTTGTTTCTGCATCCATTGGTCCATGTAGTAGGTAATCCTTGAACCCTATTCCTTCCTTCACCATTCCGTACACTTCTAGACCCTCCTTATCCTGTGTTTCTTTCCTTGTCGTCTACATGGATGAGAGTTTTGTCCACCAGGCTCATGGTTCCCCGTATTATTACTTCGCCTCCGACGAGAATGGAGTTGTGCAGGATGGGATTGGTCGCACAACGGGGAAGAGCTTGCGCATGATCATGGTGCATGCAGTCACGAAGTGGGCGCCGTTGGCTAAGTTTTGTGATGGGTTTCCGATCGAAGAGGGCTGGTTCAAGGAAACGGGTAGCGGCAAGAAGGAAATGTAATGGAAGACGAGGAGACAGCCGAGTTTCTGTGGCAGGCTAAGTTGGCAAAGGGCGATTACCACGCAGTAATGACCGACTTGATGTTGATGGAGTGGCTTGAGCACCGCCTTAGTCCTGCGTACAACGCGATCCCTGAGTTCGAAGGCAAGCAGATGATTCTTGTTCTTGAAAATGCCTCATACCACCATGGATTTGACGCGGAAGTCAAAGAGCCGGAAACCAACACCAAGAAGTACAACGTCGATCTGTTACATAAGTTTGGGGGCAAGTCGATCAGGGTTAGGCGTAAGGAGGGCGAACAGGGCGTTGTTGAGTACAACTTCGAGGTACCGACAGAGCCTGGTTCCTCATTCCCTGCAAGGAACAGAGAGGGCGGTGTAAGCAGAGCGGAGGTGGCAACGGCCACTCGGGTACATCCGCCTCAATCACGCTGAAAGGCTCGAAGAACGGGTGGTGCCATTCATGAACAAAAGGGGTGGGTGTTGATTTGGACGCCGCCCTACATGCCGTCCTTTCAACCGATCGAGCTTTTTTGGCAGCATGGCAAGCAGTACGTCAGTCTTAACTTTGAGTTGAAGCGAAAAATGCGGGAGGTGTGGGTGCAGATTCGTAAAGGTTGGTACGGGGACAAGGAATGGCCAGGCCAAGAGGGGGGGTGGAAGCAGCCAATTGTTCGAAGCTGGTTGAAGACGCCATTGGGGAGATGAATAAGTTGGTCAAGGATCGTGATGGAGTGCTTTCTGGTACCATAGGCAACCTCCAAAAGCCGGACGGGTGCGACAAAAATGATGTGTCGCCCATGGGTGATGTCGAGGAAGGGGGGGGGGATGCGTACCCTTACGTTGTGCATGCCGTAGCGGTTAGACCATTGACCACGCGTCCTCGAGAGGACGGAGCATTGTTCCCACAGGACCGATCACCGATGGCCAATCCTTCCTTTCTACTTTGCCAAAGGTGGCTCAAAAATGTCTTCCCTAGTCTGTCTATCCCAACGATATCCCTTCCGGCCTTTTCAACCCACCTCCTATGATGCCCCACTACAGCTACCGTCCTTTCCTCTCTATTCCATGCCTCAAGCATCTCCCTGTGTGTCCCATCTATTTTGCCCAGCTCAGTCACGTACACTTCCCTCTCCTTCTTGTACA